GGCTGCCTGCGGCCAGCTGGCTGAGACCCCTGCGCACCTGCACCCACCGGGGGCCGCGGGGGGGGCGGGGGCATCTGGTCTGAGAAGCCGCAGCAGGGCCTTCATCCCTGGACCTGCCAAGAGAGGAGGACAGACACGTGCTGAGCTGCCCTTAGGAGCCCACCACCCAGTGGATGATTGCAAACTGGACGTGGAGCGTCTCGCCCCCATGGCCTGCAGGGGAAAAGAAAGGCTCCCAGAGGGAGTGGGACTTGGCCAGGACCCCACGGGCGTGGATGGAGGTCGGGATGGGGGGGTGCAGGCCTCCCAGCGGGACGGCCACCGGTGCTCTTTCTGTTCACCTCCAGCCTGGAGGAATGAGGGGGAGTTTGTATTCCAGCCCCGAGCAGGTCCCTGAGCCCTGGCTGGCCGTTTGTCCTCTCGGGGCTGCCCCCTCCGCCCAAATGACTCCCCCATTCCGGCTTCTCTTCGCCGCCCCCCCAGCCCCCTGCCGTCCTGGCCCAGTGCCCACTCCCTGAGGGATGTGTCTGTCCCGGGGCTAGCTGGGCCAGCCGGGGCCTGAGTCACACCCTGGCTGCCTGCACCGAGAGCCACCGGCTTGATCACCCTCCCAGGCTGTCTAGTCCCATCCTGAGAGTGGAAACCTCAGCACCGTGTCCCCTCCTTCTCGGGTGGGCATCCCTGGTCCCGGAGAGGCGGGAAGGTGTCCTCCCCGTACCTGCACTGAGGCCCCTCCCATGTCCTCCATCCTCTAGCCCCGGTGCCCTCTAGCCCTGACACCGTCTCCCGGGGGCCCCTGTGGTCTCTGGGCTGTCCTGCCTGGTGCCCATACTTCCCAGCTCCCAGCCTCCGCACACGACAGACCACACACACCCAGCAGTCTCCAGCCCTCCTGATCCCTGCCTGGACCGGGGCCGCAGAGGCCAGGCCTGGGCCCCTGAGGATTTCCCCAACACGGTCCTCAGCTCTCGCCTTCCAGTGGGGAGGGTGCGGCCCTGCTGCAGGCCAAGCTCTCCTCCAGGACCCCCGAAGCCTCTCCAGTCACTCACCCTGCTCCAGTGAGTGCTGCCGGTCCCCCCACATCGTAGGGTTCCGTGGAGGGACCCCCGTGCGCCAAGCCCCGTGCTGGGTGCAGAGGATGGCTCCAGGAGTGTGGGGTCCTGCTGCATAAGCCCCTGGCCCTGGGAGGCCCTGGGAGGCCCCGGGAGGGCAGAGCCCTCCCCATCTGCCCCCTGCCTTCCCGGAGGCTCCCGCAGCCAGCGCGCCAGCATCTCTCTGGGCTCAGCCTGCGTCGCTGGCTCTCCTGAGCCAAGGTGCCCCCTCAACCGTGCTGCAGCGTTTTGTGGGGAGACCAACGGGGGCTCCATGGCGGGGCGGGCACTTGGCTCCTGCCTCCCCGGGGGCAGTCTCCCTACCAGTCCAGCTCCTCTGCCAGAAGCTCTGAGGTCTCCGGTTCCGGAATGTTCCCCGGCACCCCCTCCTTCGCGGCTCCCCTGACCCGGGCCTGGCCTGATCCCCCCGCACTCTGTGCCGCCTGCCTACGGCCTGGCTGCCCCCTCTAGTGCAGGCAACACTGGCCCAGCGTGTCTCCACGTCCGGAAGTCAGTTTTGCAGTGAGCGACCGGAGCGCAGGCGTAGGAGGATCCTTGTCCTGGGAAGACCAGAGGGCACGTCCTGGGTCACAAGGTTTTGCCCCTCTCCTGAAGCTTACGTCTCGAGTCACCGGTCTGAGTCTCGGCGATGAGCGGCAGGAGCACGAGGAGACAACACCTGGGACGTGGGTGGGCCTCCCCCCTCTGTTCTCGTGGCCCCGTCCTTCCCGAAGGAGCCCCGCCCCGGCATCCTCCCACACACACCCCCCCGGGGCCTGGCTCCCTGGCGCAGGCAGAGGCCAGGGCCTAGTGTGCTCCCTGGCCGGGTCTCCCCGAGGCCAGGGGAGGACATGCTTTGGTCAAAGGCCACAGTAGAGCCTGGTGGTGAACTCTGGGTCCAGGAGTAGCCCTTGACACCCCTGACGTGGCCATGACCTAAAAACACGCAGGCAGCTTCCCTCAGGCCCCGAGGCCAGAAGCAAGAGGAGGGCCAACCTGTCCTCCAGGGGGAATGACAGCCCCTCTCCCCCAGGTCTGCCTCCGGAACACTGAGTGCACATGTGAAGAGATCCCTACGGGAGTCCCGCTAGAATTCTCCCTCAAAGCGTGCGACGCTCCCAGGAGGGAAGGGAGGGCCTGGGTCCCCCGTGAGAGCGGATCTGTGTCCCACCGCCCAGCCCCCCGCCCCCAAACCCCGGGCAGGTGCAGGCCATGCCAGGACTTATCCTGTTCCCCTGTCAGGAAAACTGGGAACAGGGCGGTCTGCCCCGGGGAAGCCCAGACGGGGGTCAGAGACACAGACTGAAGCCAGAGGACCCCGGCGCAGGGGGCGGGGTGCACACACGCCGGCTCAGCCCGAGTTTCTCTGGGACTCTGGGAATGGAGGGTCCCGTTAGTGTCTGGACTCCAGGCCGCGCTGCTCTGGATGAGGTCCCAGCCCTGCCCCCTGAGGGTGTCCTCCCCTCCGTAGAGCCAGGGCCGAGGACAGACTGCCCGCGCCCAGCCCAGGATGGAGTAGTGTTCCCAGGCTGTGTCATGTCCCCTTCCCAGCACCTCCTGGTGGTCCCTGGGTCATGGGCAAAGCTCCGGGACCGGGGTCCTGGGGAGTCAGGGCCCTGGGGAGACTGGGCCCTGGGGAGTCGGGGATTGGGTCTTCCTGGATCCTACCCTCTGTAAACACCGGGTGTGGGGATCCTTCTCCCCGTGTGAGACAATCTGTCCTCTACCTGGTTGCCCCTCAGCCCTGAGTGACTGTATTGTGGAGTTTTTGGTGACTAGCTTCTAGCAACAGAGGTGGGGATGCTGTCAGAGTCCAGGAAACAAAAACAAAACAAAAAAGGAGTGATTTGATCATGAGTTT